TGACACGCACTCAATCTCTGGGGTTTTGGGGAAAATAGAGCAAGACTGAGTACAACCACTGTACTCAGCAAGTCATACCGGAATAGAGGGTATGATGCAGGATATAATCAAAGGATAGATAGAGCGGTTCATTTGTATAAATCGAGCATTTATAAACAGTAGTTGAAAGCAGTAAAACAGTTGTAATAATTAATCAATATTAACCATCCACTGTCCAACGCTACACCATATTGCAACAGGCCCAACCATCCACCTGAACTACTCAATTCCATTAGACTAAGCTAGGGTGAGACTAATCACGGTGAATCTGGTTGACCGCCCGTAACCGCGGGCACGGCTATTCGAATAGTTTTACTCTGATCAGAGGTGTACAACTGTACCCACAAGACACAGCCCCACGACACGTTTCCGTGTGCCGACATGCCACCACGACATACCGGAAAGAGGCCGTGACAGGACCCTTCGCATAACCAAACACACCACACCTCAGGTTTCACCCCCACTCCTCGCAAGGCAGCGGGCAGTCCCCTCTCGTGCCTAGGTGAATCCGGAAGCTGCATAGGCCGTCGCAGGGCCCATCCAAACTCCATCATGCCCACCCTTGCCTGGTTGCGTCAGCTAGAGGAAAGCTACAATACAAGCCCAGCCGTTGCCCACGCTGGCTTGTGGTAAGTACGAGGAATTCTTCCAGGGTATCCCGCGAACCGGTCCTTAAGTGCGAAGCCCACCATTTAATACATTTTAATTAGAGATAATCCCTTATATACCACTGAAAGTTGATCTAATCCCTTATATGCCACTGAAAATTGGCTCTTCCCTTATATGCCATTGGTCCAAATTTGCGCACCCTCTCATGCCACTACCGTTAGTTGACCGTGTGTTGACCGTTAACTCTCAAGTAAAAAATACATATTTGCCCTCTCTGAGCTGTTAGGCATGCCCAATACTCAGAAGGGTAAATATGTCTTTTTTCCCTGAGAATTAACGGTCAACACACAGTCAACTGACGGGAGTGGCATGAGAGGGTGTGCAAATTTGGATCAAAGGCATATAAGGGAAGAGCCAATTTTCAATGGCATATAAGGGATCAAACCAATTTTCAGTGGCATATAAGGGATTCTCTCTTTTAATTAACCAACACCGGAACGGTGGCAATAACCAACATCATTAGTAGAATCTGATACCTATGCATTAATGTAGTCCACCATTGTGTGCTAGTTGAACTAAGCAAGGCTAGGAACTTCCTAATCCAACAGCGAATCATTTTACAACCCCAAGCTAACAAAGGAGCGAGGTACAAAAATAGCATGGCTGTAACAGTAGGTAAATATCCCATAGTAACAATTTAAAACAATGCAGTATTTAAGGGAAAACGGTAGAGCATTTGCAACATAGGTTCAATATGTTCAAGTGATAAGCATGACTTGCCTTGCTCTGCTGCTGGAGGAGCCTCGGCGACTATTTCAAAATACACCGGAGCGTTGGGAGAGCCGGAATCTAAGCGACATACAAAGCAAACAATACAAACAGGCCATAATACTACTGAAACAGAGAACAAAACCATTTTTAATGGATTCTATGCATTTTTCTTAATTTACTGAGACTTGAATGGGCTTAAACGGAGCTCGGATGAATTTTCTATGAATTTTAGAAGATTCACTGTGTTTTACTATAAAGAGAAAAACCTTAATTATTTATTGCGCAATATATCCCAGGGCTGACGTCATCAAGGAGGGGGCGGCGCCGACATGCGGGACCCCCGGGTCAGTGACTCGAGAGAGAGGGAGGGGGCGCCGGCACGTCGGCCCCACTTGCAGAGGCACAAGGCGGGAGGGACGCGGCTGGTGGCTCGGCTCGGCTTCAAAACCGGCCGGCCCAGCATGGCGAGTGGCAGCGGCACGCGCGGTCGCCGGCGACGGCAACCGGCGGCGACCGACGGCAAGCGGCGGCACGCGACGGCACCGCGGCTAGCGGCGCCACCGTGGCGACACGGCACCGCGACGCGACGGCGGTGCACAAGTGGCGAGCGGCGGAGAGAAAGGAGAGGAAGGGGAGGGCCTTACCGACGATGAACGAGGGCGACTAGCGATGGAGGGAGGTCGGCGAACAGCGGGCGGCGTCGGGAGAGACCTAGGGAACACGATGAGAGAGGTTAGAGGGAGAGAGGGAGTCCACGGCGCACGGCATAGCCAGCCAAAGGCGATGGTAATGGAGATGCTCACCGGCGCTTGGGGAGAGGCGGGCTCCGGCGGCGGACTTCGACGGAGGAGGGGTGGACGAGGTGGACCTCGACCGCGCGAACCCGACGGCGGCGGCGGCGCGGTGCGACGGCGGCCCTAGTGGCGGCTAGAGGCGGCCGGAGTAGTGGAAGAGGCGGCGGCGGATGGGTGCACGGTGCGGGAGCGGTAGAGAGCTTGGGAGAGGCCGGCGGAAAAAGGAAAAATGAGGAGGAGGATGTGGGGATGGATTATATAGGGGCGGAGAGGTCGGGAACAGCCGGGAGTTGCCTGATATCACCGGCCGACGTGGGGAGGTGGAGGTGGAGAGAGAGGCAGGATTCGAAATTCGAATCCCGGCCATCTCGGGGCGCGGACGAGCGGGAGAGGGGGTTGAGGGGCGCGGGAGGGGCGGGCGCACGCGCGGGCGTGGCCGACATGGCGCGGGAAAGGCGGGCGCGGGCGGCGTGCGCGCGGCGGCGGTTGCCGGCCCGGGGGGGAGCGGCTAGAGGTTGGGGAAAGGGCTGACAGGTGGGCCCTATCTGTTAGTGCCCGAGGGTGTGAGGGGGCTCGGGCGAGCGGCTGGGCCGGGGCCTTCGGTCGGCCCAGCAAGGGCGCGGGAGGGGGAGGAAATGGGCCAGCGGCCCATTTGGGAAAAAGGAGGGGGAAAAAGGGAAAAAGAAAAATGGAAAAGAATTTCCAGGGATTAAATATTGCTTGTGCTCGTTTTTAATTAGTTAAAATTATTTCCAGAGCTCTAAAAAATTCCACTAAAAATCTTGTTACCATATTTCGACATGTAGAACTCATGAAAAAATTCCACATGCCAATTCTGTTTATTATTTGCATTAATTTATTGGGGTTTCTCTCTTGCTTTTACACCGATATTTTCTCTAGGTGATTTTAAAATTCAATTTAGGCTTGGGAAAGGAACTTCAGGGTGTGACACTAAGCTCCTACTTCTTTTCAGCCCCTGCAACGATTTGCATATGTGAGCAACTGACCCGGTATCAAATACCCAAGAATCAGTAAAGGAAGTAGCAAGATTAATTTCTATAACATTAATACCTGAGGTGGAACTCTTTCCATCCTGCTGCTTCTGCTTGAGCTGCTGTAGGTATTTCTTACAGTTTCTCTTCCAATGACCTGTCTCCTTGCAAAAGAAGCACTCTGCATCCTTAGCGGGCCCTGTCTTTTGAACCTTGGTCTTAGAGCTGCTTGTACTCGTGATCTCATCAGAGTTTAGCTTTCTCTTTTGACCACTCTTCTTGTTGTTGGGCTTGCGCTTATGCATAACCATCACATGGTTGGAGTTTTTCTTAATGCTTTCCTCGACAGTCTTTAGCATCCCATGCAATTCTGTCAAGGTCATGTTCAGGTTGTTCATATTGAAATTTATTATGAACGGCTCAAAGCTGGGAGGGAGCGACTAGAGAATCAAATCAGTAGCCAACTCTCAGCTAAGGGGAAAGCCAAGCTTATCCAGACTCTCGATGTAACCAATCATTTTGATCACATGTGGGCTCACTGGATTACCTTCTACAAGCCTGCACGCAAACAAGGACTTTGAGGTATTAAACCACTCAGCTCTTGCTTGGTCCTCAAACATGTTACGTAGTCCCGTGATTATCATATGAGCATCCAATGCCTCATATTGCCTTTGAAGCTCAGGGGACATAGTAGCAAGCATGAGACAGCTTATATCAAGGTATTCATTGCATCGCCTTTCATGCTCCCTACGTTGAGCAACAGGAGCATTGTTGGGCAAGTCAGCTGGAAAAGGTTGTGTAAGCATAAACTCTTTGTGCTCTTGCCTGAGAACAATTCTCAGGTTGCAATACTAATCCATGAAGTTTGTTCCAGTCAACTTCTCTTTCTCAAGAATAGACTGCAAGATAAAATTGTATGGTGCAGGAGCTGCCATGATCTACAATAGAAATATATGTATGCAAAATCAGCACCATGTTTACATTTAACCTTTCATTAAAAAATTTAACAAAAGATACTGCCACTATGTATTGTGAAACAAAATTCCCTCTAGTAACATAGTGAGTCAAGATCATCATTTTATTAGTCTCTAGTGAGCTTTGGCATCACAGCTAGACAACTATCAAAATAGGTAAGCAACACCTTGCTAATCACATCATATGTGACTCTTGTGCTGTTGAGGTGACATCTCCATGTCCAACCCAACCTATGCCCCAAGGTCCAAAACTGTTTTGATAACCTTGTCAAGTAAACCAATAATCTCCGCATATAGATGTCCGACATCTATCCTATTTTATCATGATAAAAAGTTACACTTTGCTATAGCAAACCCATCACTTATGATCACAACCACTACAAGAATCTATTTAATCTATGACGAAAAAAAATCGTCATGGATCACTGAAAATTCGTCACAGGAATTTGTCTGTGACGATTATACTTATTGTCATCTATTGAGCGTCACAGATTAAATGTGCCGACGTTTTCTCCGAAATCGTCACGGATCAGCACAATCTATGACGTTTTTTAACCGTCATAAAACGCTTATGGGCTCGTGTAGTCCAGCCCAGGCCCAACCTTTGTGATGAAATTAAACGTCACGGATGGTTGCCACGTGGCGACCAACATGGCAGGTGACATGGTCGTTTTGACACGTGTGCGATGACATGTCAATGATGATGTGGCAGCTGACGTCAGCAACTTTTTTATACGGCTCATTAATTTTTAAACAACCCATTATTTTTTTTACATTGGTCCATTGATTATTTAATGACGGCCCATTATTTAACTGTAAAATTTATATGATCATAACTATTTTTATTTATATTGGATAAATCATCGAAGTTACAGCTCAACGGTACATTTAAACCAAAAAAAAAAGGTGCAATGGCAAAAAAAAAATGAAGTTCACACAATTGTCTCACTAATTAAAGCTATCTACAGCTTTCTACATGTAGAACTGATTAATTGGCCGTTTCTCTTTTCCCCTGTAATCTGTAAATCATTTAGTCTTCTATATCCTGCAAAAACAAAAATCAGGCAAGGTATATTAATGATTCATTTGAGGTAGTGACCATGTCGAAAGTCAGTGTTCACATTTCAACAGAAATATTCAAAATCCAAGTAAAGACTAAGTGTTCTAAAATGATGTGCATGTCATCAAGGAATTACTAGATAGCATGCTCTATACCAACTTTTTGGAACTATTCAACTCCTGAATAATTTGCATACTTAACTGCTCTTGATGAATATTCTCTAGATAGCATTGGCCATTGGATGTTACTAGAAGAACAAGCGCGGCTTCACGCTGCGCACGTTAATATGTGGATGATGGTGCTGAAAGTGCAAAACAGATACATGTTAAGCAAAAGAAGAGAAGAACAACAACGGAAGGGGAAGAAAAGAAAATGGAGGCATAAAAATAACATAGAGAGCATGATCAACTGTTCTTTTCAGTGCCCACTTCTCCATTGTCATTTTGGAATTAAGACCTAGTCGCAATATTAACACATTTTGGAAACAAGAACAAAGTAAGCTTGTTAGTGTCCCATGGCTTCAAACAGGGAAGGATTGATGGCATCATATTACACATCAGCACAAGTAATAAATGTCACCCATCTAACATAATTCATTACGCTTGGGAAGATCATTCGGACTGAAAATTGAGCTGTTTCTTTTATGGCAAGTATGTTACTCCCTAACAATACATGCTTGCAAGAGCTTTTATCATTTCCCACAAACCTAAATAGATGTATGATGGAATTACCTCTCACAGTTGTAGGCAAGTGAAGCCTCTGCTAAACGTCTCTTTTCCCCCTCTGTACTCCTGATGCTTCCAGTTGTCAGAGTATCATCCATCTGCAAGCACAAGAATAATTCATAGTGAGAAACAAGACCATCTTCAACCATACGAGGAAGACCATCTTTAACCATACGAGGAACAAGAAATAACAAATTTGCACTTATTTTTCTTTTCTTTTTTTTTGACGGCAAGTGGATATGGTTTTGTTCCAACCACATCTGGACAATTGTTTCATTGTTGTTTAAGCGCCACTTAAATTACTCACATGACAAATAGATGAGATTATCAATAAAATAAGGAATCGGTCTGAGTTAAGCTAGATTACAGAACTGCGTTCTCGCAAGCGAAAAGCAACAGAGTTGCTTGAGGGTGGGGGGTCAAGATTAATCATTCATGGGTCAGCAATTAAAACAGGATGAGAATCTTTCTTGCTAAGCCTGAGCTGATGCAAAAGTAAGGGCGTCCATGCCAAATGAACTAATAAGGCACAGTAAATAAAAATGCACATTATCAGTAAACATAATTCTCCCATTCTTCATTGAACCTGGTTACCTGAAAAAAATGGCATGCAAGGGAATGGTGAGAAGAGGAAAAGAACATCAGTATCTTAGTGTTTGAGGATACAAGAGATGAGCACAACCTTGGCTGAAGAAAATCAACCCACCATATGCCGAAACACACCAACCTGATGCACATGCGCAGGTACATATCCATCGAGTATTTGACAACCCGAGCAAAACCAAATTAGATGGAACATCCTGATTCACAAATTCCTGGCAACACAACCATTCACCGATTAAGATCAGCATTAGCGCACAAATCAGGGTGAAGAAGGGGCTTACTTATCCAAATGAGGAGGCTGACGATGTCAAGTTTGATATTTTTGCGGGGATGAAGTGCTGCAACCGGCCGGGGTCCTCCAGCCACTGTCAGGACCAGAGCGATGGAGAGACTTCCTGGATCTGGTCGTCGTGGTGGCTTGGGTGGAGCAGATCGGGAAGGGCCGGCGGGGAGGGCGTGAGGAGGAGCTCAAGGCGGCGACGTCGGAAGGGAAGCCGGTGGAGGCCGAGGGCGAAGAACGGCGCCCGTCGTTGTGGAGCTGGCTTCCAAATCCGGCCGGGGGCAGCGGGCTCCGGAGTAGCCGAGGGCGACGACGTCATGGAGGTTGGGGACGTCGCCGCGACCGCGAACAAAGTGGACTGCCGCCGGAGGAAGTCGTCGAGCACGCCGGCACCGGCATACACCGCCGAGCCCATCCTGATGAGCGAGGAGGCGGCGCGGGGCGTCGGCGGTCGGCGGTCGAGGCCGCCGCCGCCGGTGCCGAGCCCGCCGCTGCCGTCGGTGAGAGAGAGAGAGGAGAGGAGGAAAGAGTAAGGGCAAGCTCAATGTATCCTACCCAAATCGGTAGGAGGGTGGGCCCAAACAGTACATAGCAATAGTATATCACAGGAGGCCACAATGCTTATGTGTAATAGGGAGGAATAAGGTAGACCCCTCTTGAAAAAACATCATCCATCACTCAATTGTACACCTGCACGTGGCAACCAGTTGCTTTCATTTAATTTTTTACTCCATGTGTCAGGCATACAGCGCTTCTTACTAGGTATTAGCTATATGACTAAATAGTAGTTATGTATCACCCTCACAATACTTCTTACCAGGTAGTAAGGATGTATTGAATGTCTAATGCCTGGTTTTTAGCAACATTATGGATGCCCTAAGAGGCAGAGAGGAGAGGAGAGGATAAGATAAGGATGGGGAAGTGAAAATATAGGAGAGAATGGGAGAGAGAAGACGAGATGAAAAAATTTGAAGGAGGGAGGAGGGAAAAAAATTAATTTCAAAATATTAAAACTTCGAATCGAATTTTATCATATTAAATAAACTCATGTGAAAAAACTGTCAAAAACAAAGTTGTAGAACTCATTGAGATCTACCAATTTTCTTTTGGTCATTTCTCCATCTAAGTTTGATTGTACTATATAAAATTTGAATTTTAAAAATATAAGCAATTCAAATAATTTTTTGGGTAGTAAGTGACTTCAAATGGGAAAGTCATCAACAACAAAGTTATATAACTTATCAAGGTCTACAACTTTAATATTGGTCATTTTTCTATATGACTTTGTTTGAACGGTATGAATTTGAATTTCAAATTATGACAACTTCAAACAGCATTTACAAGTACTAGATGATTTGAACTGAAAAGGTCATCAATAACAAAGTGGTATAACTCATCAATGTCTATAACATTTGTTTTGGTCATTTTGTTATATGACTCTGTTTCAATAATTTGAATTTTAATTTTAAATTATAACAACTTCAAACAATATTTTCAAATACTAAATGATTTCAACTGAAAAAGTCATCAACAACAAAGTTATATAAATCATCAATATCTACAACTTTTGTTTTGGTCATTTTGCTATATGACTCTCTTCAATAATTTGAATTTGAATTTCAAATTATGACAACTTCAAACAACATTTTCAAATACCAAATGGTTTCAACTGAAAAAGTCATATACAACAAAGTTGTATAAATCATCAATATCTACAACTTTTGTTTTGGCCATTTTGGTATATGACTCTGTTTCAATAATTTGAATTTGAATTTCAAATTATGACAAGTTCAAACAATATTTTCATATACTAAATTATTTCAACGGAAAAAGTCATCAACATCCAAGTTGTATAACTCATCAATATTTATAACTTTTATTTTGGTCATTTCTTCATCCGATAAAGTGATAGTAACATTGTTCACAAAATTTACATATCTCTTATATGGTTTTGAAGTATTTAAATCGTGACGAAATTGCTATAACGTCACAGGTTTTGGGCCGGTTTATGACGAAATCGATAAACTGTCACGGTATTATGGGCCTTGTATCCATAGTTGCATATCCGTGACAATCTCTGAAAACATCACGAAAATTTCGTCAAATTTCGTCACAGATTAAATAGATTCTTGTAGTGAACCGTAATAGGTGCAATTACTGGAAGAGCATAAATTACACTTAATTTTTCTGAGAGAATCTATCCTACCATGTCATATCAAATATATAACAGCAATAAAGTAAGATAGATATAAAAACCCCAAGCGAAATCTAAGGGGCAACGCACACGGGGTACATAGATCTCATCTACGATTCGCCATGTGAAAACCTTAACGGCGTAATCAAATTATGCCGAAACAGAGTCAATCTCATTGGCTCGTTTTTTCTCATTGGCGTGCGGTTCCAGTGGACATCAGACTATCCGATGAACACAATCGCGCTCAGCCTTGGTGAGTACTAGACATTCTAGTGAAGTCACCAACACACATACCGATTGATCTCATCAACCCATGCGGCTATCGGTTCATCTCACGTTCCGATCACCTAAGAACTCATGTACAATATAATTGATCTTATCTACTACACCTGCATATCAACTATATGCAATGATCTAGATCATAAACTATACAAGGCGGCTCTGATACGACTGTTGGGATATGCGTAGACTACGATAGCATAAATCAAAATTTTCTATCGTGTAAACCAGGAACCATGCAAGTATTAGATCATAGATCGTTACCACTCGACGCGCTGCGCAGCAGAAGAAGACGCTGAGAAATCGAAGGAACTCTCGCGAATTAGCGCGCATCGATGTATAGGAAGTAGTCGATCGCACCGGCTCGACCTTCTCCTCCTCGTGCGTTCTCCTCGTCGTACTCCCACGTCAATCAGGACTGCAAACCAGCGGCGGCTCTACCAGTATCCACACGTACAGGGACGGAACGCCATGCGCAGATGTGCTAGCACCCGGGCGCGGCTAGGGTTTTGCTTGGGGAGGGAACTGACGGCTAGGGTTTCTCACGTGATGCAATGCCTCCGCCGGTCACACCCCTCACGAATATATAGGATCCATCACTCGGGCCTCCAAGGCCTGTAGGACTCCTATTCGGATCCCTATCCGAATTAAGCTCATATTGGATCTCCATCCAATCCCCTTATTCCGGCCCATTAAGCGTGCGACCCTGTAGGTTCATGTATACTCGGCTATAACCCGAAAACTCCTTTTTGGTCCACGTGTCAACAGCGGCCCCTAGCAGAACAAATTGACCCACCGGGTATATATAAAGATCATATCGGCTGAACCTCTAGTGTATACTTGTATGAACCCCTTTGCCTCACGATATCAATTAAGCTTAAGGCTAAATATGTGCCATCCTCTAATAGCTCAATCATTCACTCGAACCTGTTAATAGATTATATAACTTGTGATTGACTCCTCAATCACCTTTGGTATAGCCATGCACTTCTATAATTTACAACATCGAGGGGCCCAGAGATATCTCTCCATAGGAGGGGCAAATCCCATCTTGATTATTCATATCCCACTACATGTTTCATAGCATACCCGAAAACTACTTTTATAACTACCCAATTACAGAGTAGCGTTTAGCAGTCCCTAAGTAAGCTACTACACATGTTGAGAACCATGATAATCTCAGGTCTAAGGATTCAACACCAACACTAAAAGAGATCACTGATGATACAACACATATGGCTCTTGCAGTGTCTCATGTTGGGTCTATCCAACAACATGTTCGCCAACATGTGTCCACATTATTAATTTGGTATCTCTATATCATGATCCATAAGACATGATCATCAATTAATACATGTGCTGATCATATAAACATATTTGTTTCACATATGATATTTGATCAGAGATCCTTTAGAAATAGCAACACATAACATAAAGAGTCTCATGAAAGAATCACATATTCATTAACCAATAATGAATCACATATTCATTAACCAATAATGAGTTATCTATTTCGAGGAACAATGTCGGATAAATGTGTAAACATAGTATGTGATACAATCATCTCTATGATTGCCTCTAGGGCATATCACTAACAACACTAACAAAGTCCAATCGACCAAAATAAAAATTGTAAAATGACTGCACTTGGAATCAAGAGAAAAAATGAATGTAAAACTAAGGGCCAAACTAATGTTAATGCTGTGGTGCTATTATTTTATTTACATCATATATAATTTCGTTCCAACCAAGGAAGATTACAACGAAATCCACAACCAAGGAAAAAAAAGACAACATCTGAATCTGCTGAACACATCAGTAGAGAGAATAAATCTCCGCCCAACACATCAGTAGAGAAGTGAAAAAAAAGTACACCTCCAACTTCCCAGGTGAAGCTTCGTTCTTCTTTATCAGAATTTCAGCATACCTGCACGGCTGCGCACAAGAAGAAACCAGACAAACATTACCTTTACAGATCGAGAGATTACAGATCCAAACTTTCGAAGAAGGTAGAAATCAGCCAACAGCCCAAGTCCATAAATTGTGACTCTACATGCACATAGAAGCAATGGAGCTAATATGCTCAAAGCAATACTGCCCCCAAAGGAGCTAAAATCTTCAGAAATTCAAAGTATAAGTCAAGGTATAGGAGGAACTCCACGTTTCATATCACGGAAACATGAAATGAAATACTAGTTGACGAAGACCTTAAGAACAGAAAAATATGAAGAACTACTACAGGTGCGTCTTCACCATTGTCTGCTACGAAACAAAAGAGACGACCTTGGTAAAAAAAACTCAAAATACAAAACATAGATAACAGATGGTAAGATGCAGATGCTTCAGATGAACATGTCCCTCTCATCACAAGCACAGGATGCAGATCGCTTCTTCCCTCAGCTGCCGGAAATTTTCTGCTGGCCAAAACGACCAAACGGTTTCTTGGATCATCCCAAACAGATGCAAAGATCAAGCCTAAAAAGGCATAAAGCAGCAGATCCAAATCAAGCATCTCGATCGCACAAGGCCTGCATCTGTTAATCCAGAACAGAAAAGACATTTGATTAAAACAATTCAGAGGCAAAATCGGACTCAAGAAAGTAGCAGATCGAGAGGCACTCACCTCGGGTTGTAGGGGCGGGCGGCGGATGGAGAGCAGCTTCCAGATTGCCAGGCAGCCATCCTCTGCTCGGAACCACCAAGGTCAACGGCTATAGCAGCTCTTGAACCGCTAGGAACCAGCAAAGATGTTGTGGTGGGGATCAATCGGCCCCCAGCAAATTCGCCTTCGTCGTGGACGTCGTCCGACAACAGGAAAGCTGCGAGAGGAAGGGCTCTGCAGCCCCGCTTACCATCGTCGTTCGTCCCACTCTCGTCTCCCCTAGATCTGGGCATTGCGGGACCTCGAGGAGCTGGAGTAAGATAGCACGGACGCACTGCATGCCGGAGCTACCGGACCATGGCAGGAGGGACGTCGGGGGGGGGAGGTGGCGCCGGATACACTGGATCCGGCGGCAAGGCTCACGCCGGCGACACCCCTCTTCTGGACCATCGATGCAGCCCGACGTGGGTAGAGCTGGGTGCGGGAGGTTGTCGTCGTGTTGTAGCTCCTGGATCCGGCTGGCTCTTGGGCGGAGAGCAACGGTGGAGGCCCGAACACCACCGGATGACGGGGAGGGGGAGAGGGGGACCCGGCGATCCGGAGAATTTTCGGAATTTGACATTCAATACGCACGTTCTTCAGGATAAGCCATCCAATTCGCACTACTTTCCATCCAATTCGCACTACTTTTAGAATAGGCCACTAGCACGCGAATTTTCTTAATTTTGTGACACTCCGTCCACGGATGTCGGTCCTCCTCGTCGCCCGTCCGTCTGCCATCGCCCGCGTCCCCAACTCCCCGTCCATCCGCCGGCGCCGGCGTCGTTGCTCGCTCCCCGTCCATCGCCGGCGCCGCCGCGTCCCCATCCGTCGAGAAAGGGGCGCCCCCTCCCCGGGTCGCCGGCTGTTGAGGAAGCGGAGGCAGAGGCGTGACGGCGCGAGGGTGCGCTGTGCCCGCGGTCTCCTGTGACAGGTGACTCTCTCTCTCGGTCCATCCGCCGGCGACGGTGCCGCTGCGCCCCTCCTCTCCCCTCTGTTCGCTCGATTACGACCTCTGCCGCAAGCTCCTCGACTACCGCGACTTTGAGCAAGTTGTTGCCGCGGCAGCGAATGGTCGGATGACGTGGCTGCCACGACCGGCGGCACACGAACGCGGGTGGCGCCGGCGGATGGTCGGGAATACGGCAACGCGGACGGCGGATGGACGTATCGACGGGGACGCGAGCGGCGGCGCCGACGGATGGACGGTGAGTCGAGGACGCAGGCGGCGGCAGACGGACGGGCGACGAGGAGGACTGACGTCCGTGGACGGAGTGTCACAAAATGAAGAAAATTCGCGTGCTAGTGGCCTATTCTGAAAGTAGTACGAATTGGATGGTTTATCCTAAAGACAGTGCGTATTGGATGTCAAATTCTGAAAATTCTCGCGATCCGCCACCTCCCTCCCACTTTTCACTCTGCTGTTCATGCCGCTAGCCCGCTAGAGGGGCCGAGGGCCGAGGCTAAGGGGGCTGAGATTCTATTCAAAGGGCATTTTGGCAAAGGCACAGTGCTTTTCTCCTCCCTCTTCCGCCGCCTATAAGGAGAAAAGCAGGGTTGGGTGAGGTGGTTAGAGGCTGCGCTGAGATTTCGGACCATGTGTATGGTCTAGGTTGTTGGTGTGTGTGTCTATATATATATATATATAGAGAGAGAGAGAGAGAGGGTAAGACTATTCTTCCTCCCCCACCCGAGCGCTCCTCCCCCCTCTCCTTTTTTGAGAGTGAAAAAAATAAAGGAAAATTTTGCCTTCAAAGGGAATAGAACTTAATACCTTCAACTCAAATTACCACATGGCACTAACCAGTAGGCTATTTCTCAGTTGTGAGAGAGTTTCCTTAGTAAAAATTTATCTTCTCATACGTGGTAAATCCTTATAGTATCTGGTACATAACATGTAGTAACGAAACGTGTCCGGTTACTACAAAATATATAGGTTGTTATTACAGTCAAGTGACTAGTATTACTGGGTTAAAGCCTCGCATACTAACCATATACTTGTTATTACACAAAAGTAGAAGTGTTACTACATGATAGGTGCATGTTACCACTTCCAAGTAGCTATGTTACTGCACGATAATTGTAGTTTTACTATGTTATTTTTACGAGATAAAGATCGAATAGGTGGGCCATAGGTAAAGTCGGTTGGTGGCTTTGAGCGAGGTCTGATTGATATAGGAGTGTTTTGAACAATTTTATACATTTGGTAAAACTATGTTATTGCATGTATAGGCCCTTGTTACTGTAAATTACACATTCTGTTACTGCATGTGGAGGATTAAAGTTTAAAATGCTAATTTTTGAAAAGCAATATCTCACAAAATATGCATTATTTTTTAATACCGATTTCACAATGATACTATAGTGTTACTACATGTGAAGGTTTAAACTTCAAAATGCATCTACATATTCCCCTCCTCAAGAAATTGTTCATCCTCCCTTTTCTCAAGAAAACCGGTCTCCTCCCTCCAATACAGTGTTACTGCATACATATATATGACGTTGCTGCACTTTTGACAGCAATATTACGGTGAATTACAGTAAATCAGGAATTGAAATAAAAATATATGGGTTCAAAGTCTTAGATGCTAACCATATACTTGTTACTGTACAAAAGTAAAAGTGTGACTGTACGGCATATACACGTTACCACCTAATAGTTACACATTACCACATGTTTATGTAGTAACACTATCCAAGAACTGCAGTAAAACACTTTGTTACTGTAGAACATATAGAACATTACTGCATCTTTAGCAGTAACATCATGGTGAAATTGTAGTAAACCAGGAATCAAAAGAAAAATATGGGTTAAAAGTCTTACATGCTAAATATACTTGTTACCGCACAAAGTGGAAGTGTTACTACATGGCAGGTATATGTTATCACATGTTTATGCAGTAACACTATTCATAAATTGTAGTAAGACACATTGTTACTACAAAACTTATGAGCTTAATCGATATCCTGAGACAAAGGGGTTCATATAAGTATACACTAGAGGTTCAACCGATATGATTTTTATGTATGCCCGGTAGGTCAATATGTTCTGCTAGGGACCGCTGTTGACACGTGGACCGAAAAGGAGTTTTTGGGTTACAGCCAAGTGTACATGAACCTATAGGGCCGCACGCTTAATGGGCCGGAATAAGGGGATTGGATGGAGATCCAATATGAGCTTAATTCGGATAGGGATCTGAATATGAGTCATACGGGCCTTGGAGGCCCGAGTGATGGATTCTATATATTTGTGAGGGGTGTGACCAACGGAGGTATTTTTGCATCACGTGAGAAACCCTAGCCGCCATTCCCTTCCCGAGCAAAACCATAGCCGCGTGCAGGTGCTAGCACATTTGCGTGTGGCGTTCTGTCCCTATACGTGTGGATATCGGTAGAGGCGCCGCTGGTTTGCGGTGCTGATCGGCGTGGGAGTACGGCGAGGAGAACGCACGAGGAGGAGAAGGTCGAGCCGGTGCCATCGACTACTTCCTCTACATTGACGCGCGCTACTTCGCGAGAGTTCCTTCAACTTCTTAGCGTCTTCTTCCGCTGCGCAGCGCGTCGAGTGGTAACGATCTATGATCTAATACTTGCATGGTTCCTAGTTTACGCGGTAGAAAAATTTTGATTTATGCTATCGTAGCTTACGCGTATCCCAACACCAACAACCGTGACTGCAGCAACTGGGATGGAGGAACACGCAAGGCCTACTGATTCGTCGTCGCCGCCGCCGCCGCCGCTGCCCGCCATTGACAAGGCGCGGTTTGTGTTCAGCTTGCTCGGGCGGAGTTGATGCTGTTGGGCACCATGGCAGCACAAGCCGAAGCTAGCAGTTGCATGCCGAGCCAACTTTATTCAGCAAATACATGTTGCGGCAACATGACCGACCAACCAGAGGATGACACATCATCACCATGCTACAGTGCCATGCACACGGAGTAGTTGGCCAATGTGTTGGCTAAACAAGTCCTGTTTATTTCTATCTTTTTCAATGGGGTGCTGAGCTGTGATTAAATTCGGTTATTACCGCACCGTCCATCTAAAACAACTCCTGATTCTTTCCTAATCTAATCCTGATGCAACTGATGTGACGTCGAGCCGTCCAAGCTACGCAATTCCATACATGACTTAACCAACAATCTACACCGGCACGTTGTTCAAGACTAATGAGGCTAAGACGACGAGGGCAGGTGAAGCTGATGCGAAGGCTACGCTACTAACCCCGGCGCATGGACCGACGAGGCCGTGGATCGCTGCCGGCGCCCACACACACATCTGCACACATCTACATCATCATCGCAATCATGCATGGAGAACGCGGAGCAAAGACGACCACAAGTAGCTTAATCGGCGGTTCTCCTGCAGGCCTAGACCTGCGGAGGTAATTAACCGGGAGCTTCTCGAGGCCCAAGGAACCAGGATACCACATTGCACAAGTCAGATCTGTCCAGTGACAGATTATGGAGTGCATAAATATATTACATTGGGAATTTATATTTATGATCTTCGAGATTAAGAAAGCACATGTTTCCTATGTTTTGTTTACTGTGTATTTAGGTACACTGGCATGCCCACACATACATATATCTCTACATAAATATAGAGATCTTTGACGTTATTTTCCACCCTAAACAATATGGAAGCATACATCAATGAGACTAGATATTAATAGATGAGATTACAATAAGAGATTTGTCAATGATAAATGATGACATGATAATTGGCCTAAGATTCCTTCAATAATCAGTACAAACCACAGTAATACATAAACAGGGAATTACATGTATACCATATCTAGACAATGTTTCATATATTTCAGAGGTATGAAAGCGTGGTGGAACCTCCTTTAACAACCTTGACCACCTTAAAGCGCCCAGTTCTGACCATAAAGAAAATAGTATAGATTATGAACTTAGTGAAAATATAGATGAATATTACATTTCAAATTCCATTATAGAGTGCATAGGACTACAATCATTTGCACCAAATTGGTACAGAGATATCAAGTCCAAAAAGGATATAGAAATAATTGTTCAAAGATTAGAAGACACTCAAATAATAGGAGAAATCCCAATGAAGTAATGGGAGAAAAAATCAATCATCTGTAAAATCAACATAATAAATCCTGACTACATAATTAAAACATGTCCGATAGAGACAACCCCAAAGATATAGAAGAATTTAAAATGCATATAGAAGAATTATTAAAGCTAGGGGCAATAAGAGAAACCAGGAGCCCTCATAGATCAGCTGCATTTATTTAAAGAAATAATGCCAAAGAAGTGAGGTAAATCAAGGATGATCATCAATTACAAAAGGTTAAATGATAATACAGTTGAAGATGCTTATAATATTCCTAATAAGCAAGAATGGATCAATAGAATACAAGGTAGTAGATATTTCTCGAAATTTGACTGATAAGCGGGATTTTGGCAAGTAAAGATGGCACAAGAATCCATAGAGTGGACTGCATTTACCTGTCCTCAAGGACACTATGAAGGGATTGTGATGCCACTAGGCCTAAAAAATGCACATGCCATATTCCAAAGAAAAATGCAAAATATATTCAATAAAAACCAAGAATTTATATTAGTCTACATATATGACTTATTAGTCTTTTCAAAAACTTACAGAGAGCATATTGCTCATCTAGAATTTTTTTTTAGAAAGGTGGAACAAAATGGGTTAATCTTATCCAAAAAGAAAATGGAAATATGCAAAGAGAAAATCAGTTTCCTTGGTCATGAAATAGGAGAAGGCAAAATAGACTTACAAGAACATATTGCTAAGAAAATTTTACAATTTCCTGATGCTATGAGTGATAAAAAGGAATTACAACAATTCTTAGGAATTGAAAATTATGCTAGAAACCACATTAATAATTTAGCAAAGCTAGCAGACCATTATATGCTAAATTAAGAAAAAATGGTCAGAGATATTTCAATTTTGAAGACATTAAATTTGTAATGTTAATAAACGAAAGGTGACAGAACTAAAACCTCTAGAATTGCCTTTAGAAGAAAACTATTTTATTATTAAAATTACAGATGCATCGCAGCAGGGTTGGGGTGTTGTATTAAAACAAAGACCTAATAAATACTTATCTAAATCAGAGGAAAAGATATGTAGGTATGCCTCCAGAAGCTATAAATTAAATACAATAAACAATACAGATCGAGAAATCCTAGCAATAATCAGCGCGATAAATGCTTTTAGGTTATATCTAGGGTTTAAAGAGTTTACGGTTAGAACGGACTGTGAGGCAATATGTAGATATTATAATCAGCTTAAAAGCAAGAAGAGTTCTACTAGGAGGTGGATCTTATTTGAATATAACATTACTGGAAATGGCTATAAAGCTGTATTTGAGCATATTAAGGGGAAACATAACAATTTGCCTGATCTACTTTCTCGTTTACCTGTTTTGCAGGTATGAAGAAATCTATGAATTATAATGGAGTTGAATTCTTTACTTTCGGAGAAGATAACAAACTCAGAATATTCCCACCAAACTCTTATAAATTTAAACCAAAGGACCATATAATCATAGATGAAGTGCAAGAATGTATTCTGGACAATTTCTGGTATCAATATAATAATAAGAGGGAAGAGATATTTAATATCCTATCAATATTAAATAGTCTTGCTGAATATTTTCATTTGATAAATGAATTAATGCCAGTTGCAGAAAATATTGAGACCACAGAGCAAAAGCCCATTTATGTGGTTTTTGAGGGAAGAGTACCAGGCGTTTATATATCCTTTGAATAGATAATATCTCTGAAAATAGACGTGAAGCTAACAGGAGGAATATCATGGAAGAAATATAAAGACATTGAAGAAACATTAGGACAAGCTAGGAAAATATATTAAATAAATTATTATCAAGAGCCAGCGGCAAAGGAATATATTCAAAAGTGCAAGATGGCTAGAAACAAGAAAAATCCAGAGCCCCCACATTATACAAATATAAAGGAAGAAGGGCCAACCAAAAAATTAACATATAAAGAATGCTTAACAAAGGGATTAGACCCCTTAGACAGTGAATATATTGATTTAATGATAATGAAAAATTTGCAGAAGTCTCGACTTAGTGGAAGAAAGATGTAAAGGAAGAAAATTTCAAAGAATTAAAGCAAGAATTAAATGAAAAATTGGAAGCTCTAAAGAAAGCATATCATGAACATTTTGAAATAGACTTTTCTGATGATGACACTATGGATATCAGTGGTCATGGGCAACTATACGAATAGTTATTATATATAAATACCTAATTGATAAGGTATTATCAATTATACCGGCATAGTAGACCCTATATCTGTTCAAAATAAAAATAAGATTACAAAGGTCTGTCGTCATATCATTTTCTTGAAGAGAAGACGTTGAAAATTTTGGGGAGAATATTTGAAAGTTCAATAATTACCAAAGAGCATCAAATATGGTAGATATTCTTTCATATAATCCAAACCAGCACGAATGCAGAAGGCAACAAGTCACAATATGCTGAAGGTAAAAATCAAACTTCTCGGGAATAAACAGAGCGCCCGTGATCAGAAGAAGACATATAACTCTCTGAAGAACCTGTGATGCCACAGTATGATAAAAAATATGTGTGAAAATTGAGCTCCCTCTCCGGTTTCTATATATATACACACACACATTCACATTCTACGAAATATATTCATATAGATACAAAGAACTTTCAGTCATCATAAAAGATTTTTACCATTTATGCTGCATTCGTTTCTCTAGCTGCAAGCGGTCTATTAGTATGTGATTAATTAAGTATTACCTTTTTTTAGAAAAAATGCACTAATATGATTTTTTAAGCAACTTTCTAATAAAAACTTTTTGTAGAAAAAAAACACACCGTTTAGCAGTTTGAAAAGCGTGTACGCGGAATACGAGAGGGAGAGTTGGGAATCCCTCGAAATGAACGCAGCCTTAGAACCAAACAAATGCCCGCGGGACTGCGCGCTTCCTTGCTTCTAGTTTTTTATAAAGTGTGTTCTTTAAATAACAATTATAGTCGTGCAAACGCACGACTTAATGCCCTAGTATCTTTGGAACGGGGAATAGCTCGTTGGCAGTTGGCACCACGCAGTTCCATTAATTAATTATTTCGTTATTTCTTATTAATAAATACCGACATTTCACAAGCTTCACAGTTCCAACACTGCAGACACCATCTGACAGTAGTCACTGAAAATTGATGGGTAATTGGTTCTACTATGTTTGTTACGACTGTCACCCTAGATTACTAGAACTGCAGGTCTAGTTAATTACTACTCCGTCCCAAAAATAATACAAACCTAGCAAAACACAATGCGTGTCCAGATTCGTTGCTAGGATTGGATTTTTTTGGACGAAGGGGTACTGATCTTTTCGTCTCAAAAGACAACTTAGGTTGTGTCCGTATGTCCTGGGTGGGAACTCATTCCCTCTGCACGGAAAACGGAGCGGTCCATTAGCACGTAATTAATTAAGTATTAACTTTTTTTTCAAATATTGATTAATTTGATTTTTTTAAAGCAATATAGAAACTTTTTATAAAAAATACACCGTTTAGTAGTTTGAAAAGTGTGTGCGCGGTAAACGAGGGACATGGGTTGGGAAAAGGGCATGCGAACACAGCCCTAAGGATAAAATGTGAACTATCCCATGATAATAAGGCCATGTTTAGTTCTCAAACAACAACTTTTCACCATATCACATCGAATGTTTGGACACATGCATGGAGTATTAAATATAGAAAAAAAACTAATTACACAGATTGTTTGTAAATTGCGAGACAAATCTTTTAGGCCTAATTGCTCCACGATTGGACAATGTGATGCTACAGTAAACATTTCCTAATAACAGATTAATTAGGCTTAATAAATTCGTCTCGCAGTTTACAGGCGGAATCTGTAATTTGTTGTTATTAGTCTACGTTTAATACTTCAAATGTATATCCGTATATCTGATATGACACGCTAAAACTTTTTGTCTCGCGAGCTAAATTGGGCCTAAACCAGATTCATTATTCTAGGATAGGTCACATCCTATTCTACTTAGGTCGCTTTTTATTTGGACGGAGGGGGTACATGTGGCCTGTCTGGCCCTGAACAAACATATAATGAAAAAAATTCCACAAGGTAACGTCGTTACATATCCTATCTTATTATAAAGTTATAACCGACTAACTCCTAAAGCTTAACATGCAAAAATGCCACATCATCATCCACTAAGAAGTTGACACATCATCATCCACTAACAATCAATACATTTAATATCATGCAAACATGCTATATTATCTATAATTTAAAATTTATTACATTTTAGAGCTTTTAAAATAAAAGCATGTTAAATCATCATCCCACATAATTTACATAATATTCCAACATATATCTTCATTATTTTTTATAATATCTTATGTACCTATGTAGTTCTATTTAGGCCATATCACATCAATTATTTTTAGTGCTTATGTAAGTTTATATTGTTTAACTATCTTACACATTATTTTACTTATTGTTATCTTATACATTATTTTACTTGTTTATCCTAGTTGTTATAAATTAATCCCCATGCGTAGCACGCATGCTGACTTTACAATCACTTTCTTCAACCCAATGTACTGTTGTAAACCTTTTAATATCGTGCATGAGCCAACTTCCGGTGTATATATATATATATATATATATCAACAAGACAAATAGTGATATGGGACAAATCACCTAATCAGATAAACAAATTGAAATTTGAATTGAACTAAACAAGAAACAAAATGTAATACCCCAAAAAAAAAAGAACCAGCAGTATAGCAGTAGACCACTGACACACCCTATTTAAAGGCACCAGCATCCCTTCAACAAAGCACACGAAAACACCAGACAGGGAGCATAAAAGAAGTGAAATATAGTGTGTGAAAGTGTGATCAAAGAACTGAACGAGCAATGGCAGCTCAGACTCAGACCATCCAGGTTCCTAACGATGCCGAGCTGATGCAAGCACAGGCCGACCTGTGGCGCCACAGCCTCTACTACCTCACGTCCATGGGCCTCCGCTGCGCCGTCGAGCTCGGCATCCCGACCACGATCCATGGCCTCGGCGGCGCCGCCACCGTCCCTGACCTGATGGCCGCGCTGTCCCTCCCTGAGAACAAGCTCCCTTTCTTCCGGCGCCTGATGCGTGTGCTCGTCACGGCGCGCGTCTTCGCCTCTGCCGACGGCGGCGAGACCGAGCGGTTCCGCCTCACTCCGCTGTCCCGCATCCTGGTTGACGGCGTCGTCGCCGACGAGCACCATAGCCAGAGGTGCTTCGTCCTGGGCACCACGTCGCGCCACTACGTGGACGCGGCGTTCGCGCTGTCCGAGTGGTTCAAGAAGGACCTGGCGTCGCCGGTGCCGTCGCCGTTCGAGGACCTGCACGGCGCGAGGCTGTTCGACGAGAGCACCCCGCTGCTCGACCCGGAGCTCGACGCCACAGTCAACGAGGGCCTCGCGGCGCACGACAACCTCGGCATCGGCACGCTGCTCCGCGAGTGCCGCGACCTGTTCAAGGGGGTGCGGTCGCTGACCGACTGCTGCGGCCGCCACGGCGCCACGGCGAGGGCCATCGTCAAGGCGTACCCGCACATCAAGTGCACGGTGCTGGACCTTCCACGGTTGGTCGATCATGCCCCTCGTGACGGTGTCGTCAACTACGTCGCTGGTGACGCGTTCCAGTGTACCATCCCACCCGCCCAAGCAGTCATGCTCAAGGTATATGTACACATCTATATTAACCACTAAGAAATCCTATATCACATACATGCATATTTAATAAACTATGAACCAATAATATGCCATCTCAAGATATATCAATCGGCAGAAGCTCTTGAAACTAAATTTAGTGTAGTCATTTCTGCATGGCCTAATAGTTTTCTATTTTGCACGTAGCTTGTTCTGCATCACTTGAGCGACGATGACTGCGTGAAGATCCTAGCTCAGTGCAAAAAGGCTATTCCTTCACGAAAGGAGGGCGGGAAGTTGATTGTCATAGATATCTTGGTTGAACCATCTTTGGGGCCTGTAATGTTCGAAGCGCAGCTCATGATGGACATGCTCATGATGGTGAATACTAGAGGTCGTCAACGGAACGAAAATGATTGGCATGACCTGTTCATGACAGCAGGATTCAGTGACTATAAGATTGTGAAGAAACTTGGTGCTCGAGCTGTCTTCGAGGTCTATCTGTAGGATTGCTTCTATCTAATATGCGCAATGGACGTGGATCGTGTGATGTGACGAAATAAATAAATGGTGCACCATAATAATGACTTTGGAATGGAATTTCACAGATCATGCATGAAGCGGACTGAAATCTTAAGCTCGGATACTTCATGAACTGTGCAAGGGTTCATTTCAAAGATATCTAGCAGTCGTTGCGCTAGCTTTACTGCACCCATGGCTTGTGTTTGTTGTCGTATATGTGTGTACTGCCACAGTTTATTGGAAATGAATCTTAAGCCTACGTTAGAATTGCAAATAGACAAAGTATTGAGTACTATAGATCTACTTTTTGCGTTGTTTAACTATATATGAAGGAATTAAGCCCCCAGACATACATGTGCGGGCAACTTATTTATTGTTTATAAGAAATACTAAAACAAATAATTCTATCTCACAATATTAATTATCTCACCATACTAATTCATCTACACAAGGATAAGTCAAATTTTCATATTTTACTTCGATGGAAACGTTAACTGAAGTCAAATTTCCATGTTTTACAGAAAGAAAAATAAAGTCCAATAACATCAGGCAGAAAGAAATACTCTTGCAGGCATCTTGCTTCATACTCAAAGCATCAATTCAGCAGTTGATATAATGTAAAAGATGAGCACAAAATATTCATGCTGGCAGCAGACCTCCAACACAAGAAAAGCACCTCACAAATCATGCGAATTCTAAACCGTTGGATCCCTTTAAGATTCGAGCTGGCAGTTCTAACCTTAACCCCTCTCCCTCTCCTCATCATTCTAGGCCGCCGCCGAATCCTCTCGCACGCGGCTGCCTCCACCGCCGCCCCACGTGCCGCCGCCCGGACTCGCCGGCTAGCCAGAAGGGGTCAACAGCGCCGGCGAGCCCCCCTCCTCCCCTCCCCCTGGCCGGTCTCCTCCCCTACCCCCTACTCCCCTCTTCCACAACGGACGGCGCGAGTGTCCCGCCCCCACCGTCTTCCCCATCTCCGGCGGCTTCCCGCCACCGGATCCGCCACCACTAGCCACCGCCTCCTAACCACTAATTGTCGGATCCGCCATGTACTAGCCGTTTGCCCCTGCCGCTGATGCCAGCCCACCGCCCTCCTCCATCCCCGTGGCTTCGGCGCTGCCGCCGGCGCCTCGCCGCCCGCCAGTGTCCACCGCCCGCCGCCGGGCCACCGCCTCCCACGGCCATCCCTCTAGGCCCGTAATCTCTTCCCCCTTCCCCAACCCCCCTTCCACCCCCATCCCAACCCGAGACCCTAAACCCTAATTCCATTGCTTTTGTCGGGGTTGCCGGAGTTGGAGAAGGTGTTGCCGGAGTCGGAGGAGAAGAGCTAAGGTCGCCGGAACACAAATTGCAAAGCAAATCCCAAGGTTAGTAATCTGCATGATTTTGACCTCAAAAATCATTCGCCAGTCATTTAGCCATTCGGATATTTATGTTAAGCCATGGCATCTTACAAAATGCATTTCTGCATGACATGCAGAAATAGTGCAGTAATGTGCTTGGATATAGCTCCATGGCAAATCCAGAATATATTGATTACTGATTACCATTAGAACTAAACTAGCTTGAAAAAGTAACAGACCATCAGCAAAAAGGAGCAAACACAAGCTAAGCTTACTTGTTAGGGCAACAATTCCCAATTCTCTGTAAGTAGTTGTATGTTATGCGTATGCTAGATAAACTAATACCATCCTGAAAATTCAGTGAATTATCACCAACTTATCACTGCCAAATCTCAAAGTAGATCCATTCATCATGGTTATTTAATTTGCAAACAAACTAATAACGACCACACCTGCTCCTGAGTCCTGCCCCATGAACAGAATGCAAAACTTTTTCTTTAGATTTGATTGTATATTAAAAAGCCTTTTCCACCCCAGAAGCTAGCCAATGAGGTGAGAGGTTCCCCCGCTTATATATTAGGTTATTTGTCTTTCCACAACCAATATGAAACTACTCAACAATCTTTCCCTTCACACATTTGGTGCCCCTCAGCCGTTCACCAGCCCTTCACCGTACATCGACGGTCCCTCGGGTATATAAGTTCTGCAGACACCAACAGTCCACCAGGCATTCACATATGTTGTCCCTCGAATTAGATGTTGAACTAGCCAGAAACTGATGCCAAATGTTAGGAATCAAAGCAATTCACAGGAACACAATGGACACAACTTCACTTTCACGTGGAGACACAATAATGGAAAAGAACCCACACAACACATAGAGTTTTTGTGGCACCACACACAACCTAGTGCTTTTTCTCTTTCTTTTCTTCTCGACTAAACATGTTGATTACATTGCTTTAAATAGAACATAAACACACACACGATGGGCAATGACCCAACTACTCTAGCTCACACAACGCAGCCGTGTACACCATAAGCGTGCCAAAACTAACTCCGCATGCATGCACTGCCTGGACCGCTTCTTGCTCCAAACGTGCCGCTAATCACCGTGCATGGCTAATCAATTCCACCTACACATGTATGAGAGTAGATACTCAACTCCTGACTGTTGATCTGCCCGCTCTACACTATATATGCTTCTGCTAATTCACTCGCTACGCCATGATGCTGCACATACAGCTAACTGGAACTACACTTCTGCCTTGTCCCAAAATGTAAATATAAAAGATAACTAAAATTCTAAACAAGACTAATTTTTAACACTGACAAACTTGAAAATAGAGATAGAAAATAAGGTTCCATTTGGCACAGCTCCAGCTTCCAACTCCAACTTACCTGGAGCCGAAGTTGTGCCAAACAGTCCAGATTCTCTGTTTTTGAGAGTGGAGTTAGCAGAGCTACTCCTAAAAAATGAACTATGGGTGTGGAGCTGGGTTTTAGTTGCTCCACAGCTCCACTCCACCCCAAAAGACCTACTACTTTTTAATTTTTTAACATATTTACACAAAAATTCCACTCAGCTACCCAAACTCACCTCCCACCTCTCTCTCTCTCCCTCCCCAACTCCTCACCTCTCTCATGGTCGGCGCACGTCATGGCACACATGCGGCTTGTGGGGGGACGGCGCGCGTGGCGCGGCGGCCTGCGGTGGGCAACGGCACATGTGACGGCGGGCGGTGCGGCGGCCGGCGGTTGGCGACGGCGCGGGGTGAGAGGGAGACGGCGCGCGCGGTGGCAACGGCTAGCGTGGTGGACGCCGGACAGCGCGCAGCCACCGGCGGGGCGACGGTGCGTGGGGGGATGTCGTGTGGGGACGGCGTGTCACGCCCAGAAGTTTCCCCCTTTTCTTGCTTTAAAAATTGGTTAAATAAATTGCCCGAAGAAATTATCTTAATTAACCTAGAGCTAAATCCCTAGTTAATAAATGCAATTAATAATCGGAAATAGCGTGGTGGAATTTTTCTTGAGTTCCCCAGGCTCCAATGCATTAACAAGATTTTTAGTAGAATTTTCAGAGCCTTGGAAATAATTTTAACCAATGATGGGCCGTCGGCCCATCTCTCTCCCCACGCTCGGCACCCCTTTCCTGGGCCGGCCCGCTCCTCCTTTCCCCTCCCCAAAGTCCTCCCTCCCTCCCTTTCTCTTTCGGGCGCCGACTGGTGGGGCCCACCTGTCGGTCGTCCCCTACCTCCGGTCGTTGGAGCCGGAGCTCCAACCGCCCGCGCCGCCGCCTTCTCCGCTCCATGTCACGCCTCCACTCTGCGCCCGCACCTCGCGCCCACGTCGCCGCCCTCTCCCCCGCATCTCCCGCGCGCGCGCGCCCGCAAGTGGTGGGGGATTTGAAATCCCCCAACACCCTCTCTCTTTCCTCCACCTCTCCACGTCGCCGGCCAAATAGGGGCCATCCCCAGCCGTTTCCGCCCCTCCCTCGCCCATAAAAACCCTCACTCGAGCTCTCTCTCTCTCATTTCCCCCATTCACCGTCCTCTCCCACGCCCTCTACCGCCGTCGCGCCGCGCTCGCCGAGCTCCGCCGCCGCCGCCCATCTCCGGAAGCGTGCCGTTGCCACTAGGGCCGCCGCGGCGCCAAGCCGCCGCCACCGCTAGCTCCGCCGCCGTGTGGGCCATCTCGGCCACCGCCTCGCGTCGCCGGAACCCCACCGGAACCCCATCTCCCTCGCGAGCCGGTGAGCTATCCATTCCCCTCCGTCTCCGGCCAGCCACTTTGGTCGTCGCGGTCGCCTTCTCCATCCCTAACTCCTCTCCTCCCCTCCTCTAGGTGTCGCCGCCGCTCCTCCGCCCCTCCTCTTGTCGGGTCGTCGTCGCCGCCTTCGTCTTCCGCTCCGGCCGCCGTGTCGCCGATGAGTCCTCCCTCCCCCTCAGTTCCTCACCTTCCCGCGAGCGCCGGCCACGCCGCTGCTCCGGCCATGCGCCGCCGCCTTTCGGCCGTCGCCGCCGCTTCCCACACCGCCGGTCACCGCCGTCGGTGGCCGTGCCTCGCCGCCGCCTCGCCTTGGTCGGCCGGTCGGCCTTGAGGCCGAGCCGAGCCCGGCCGGCGCCTCCCTCGCCTCCCCTTTGAGCCACCGCCTGGTGGGGCCCACCTGCCAGGCGCCACCTCCCTCCCTTTGGAGCCGCTGACCCGTGGGGCCCACGTGCCGGCGCCCCCCCTTTCGCTGACGTCAGCCCTGGGCTTTATTGCGCAATAAAATGATTAAGGCTTTTTCTTTATTAGTAAAAACACAGTTTATCTTCTAAAATTCATAAGTAATTCATCCGAGCTCCGTTTAAGTCCATTCAAGTCTCAGTAAATCAAGAAAAATGCAAAGAATCCATTAAAAATGGTTTTGTTTCCTGTTTCAGTAGTCTTATAGCATGTTTTGCTTGTGTGCTTTGTTTGTCGCGTAGGTTTCGGCCGTTTCGTCGATCCGCAGTTTCTCGAAGACGTTGCTGAGGTCTCATCAGTTCGAGAGCAAGGCAAGTCATACTTTACATTTGATCATATTGTACCCAATTTACAAACACCCTGCATTTCTATTAAATGTTGCATTCTTTTATAATGTCATGTGGGATGGGTCCTATTACTTAGCCATTTATTGTTTACCATATGCCATTGATAACCTGGGTATCAAAATGATTAGATGTTGGTTTAGGAAATGCTTAGCCATGCTTAGTTCAACTAGTACACAAATGGGGATCACATTATTACATAGACTTTGTCTATTGGCATAGCTTTAGATTGGTGCCACCGCAAGGGTGTCAGTTTATTAAAATATTCTGAATGGCGGGCTGTGAGTGCATGGTTTTGCTGGTCGCACCCATAGCAGTTAAGGACCGGTTCACGGGAAACCCTGGGAGACTTACCGTGCTTACCACAAGCGGGAGTGGGTAACTG